GTAAATAAAAGGGAAGAAAGACGTGGGGTTTGAAGACATACATACACTCACACACACTTATTACACATATGCCCTCACTTGGAGGGACCAAAAGAATAATACAATCCGAATAATGAATTACTTATCTCAGCTAATTAATTATTACAGACCCTCTAATTTAACAAATTAAATGCAGAATGGAGATGACCGCAGCCCTGCCTCGGGATGCGCGAATGATGCATGCTCGATCCATCTTGCCCGGAAACCCATAGCCATAGCACTACTGCCTCTTGCTTCTCTAAAAGCTGCCAAAGTCCCAGGGTATCTTCAATGGGCACTGCAGAACACCACCGGCTAAGTGAAATGACCACCGACCATGGTAAAATGCCGTCGGCTTCTAATGAAATTATCGGCCATTCGCTAATGGCCGGTCAGCCAGTCGGCAAAAACTTCCTACAGAAAACGATTTTGACAGCAGCAGGGGACAGGTAGTGCATGGCATAGAATTTCAAGCACATGTAAGCATGGTCATGTTCCCTATCATGTATTGAACTCAGGGGAGCATGGTCCTTGATCCTTGGGCCATCAATTGCGCATGATAGCCTAAGGGACCAAACTTGCCATTCAATGTAAAATGCATGCAACACACAAATGAGGACCAAGACCCTATCATGTCAAAGTCAAGGGCCTCGGTGACCGAGGGTTGAGATGTGTTTCATCACTTGTAGTATGAACACCTCTCACCCTCACACTAGGTTTGACACCCCAAACCAAGCAATGCAATGCATGTTGTGCAAACATGGCTAAAAAATGCAACAAGAAGCTAAGATGCAAAACATGTCAAATGTGATGCAATGCAAACTATCATGCAAACAACATGGTAATGCCACTAGCATGCAACACTACAAGCAATACTACAATGCACACTAGATAGGCAACTATGTAAAGAGGTGGGCATGCAACAAGGCACAAACCATAAGGATACCACAACATGCAATATCATGAGCATACTAGAAGATGCAAATATATGATCCATGGACTTACACTAAGATGGAGGACCCTCAGCCACACCCCAAAACAGTGGCCAAAAGTGATGGAATGATGGGCAAATACTCATGCAAACTTGCATACCAAAGAGCAAAAGGCTAAGGCATAAAAGAAGCCTTCTACCACAACTATCATAACCACACATGGCATAAATGAAACAACCAAAAAAAAAAAGAGTTTTAATGCATTAAAACACGCCCCAAAACCCTCATGAATGGCAACCCAAGTGACCTAAACACGCAAGCATGTACAATGCCCATTTCAAGGCACAAAACAACAACACCTCAAGGCATAAAAGGATGATAAACGCTGTCATACAAGCATGATATAGGGACCGAAATAGCATAAGAAGTGACTCCAAATCATTTAAACAACCTAACCAAAGCATGCTAATGACACATTTGCTCAAGGCCAAAATTCTAGAATGCAAAGGAACTATGTAAAACACGACAAACATGACAAAAACAGTGGCCAACAGACCTAAAGCATGACAAATCATGACCAAAAGCTTCAATAAGCTAAGCCAAATCATGAAGATATACTAGGCTAAACACACGGCACATTTCTAGGCAAGATAAGGAATTACAAAGCAAGTACAAGATGCATGATAAGGGCTACAAATCCAACCAAAGACAGAGATATAACATGACTAATAGGCACCCAAAAACCTCTAAGATGGGACCAAAAACAACCAAGCATGCATGTTGCCCTTTAAAAAGAAGGACAAAAGGGGAGAGGGGTGTCCTCTCCAAACCAAGACTTCAAAAATTCACTCCATCACCACTAAAATCCACTAGATTT